CTCACTTATACGACTGGCCTACTGAGTGGTCCATCATGATGACCGTAGACTTTCTCAAGATGATGGTTTCAAATGGGTAGCCGGTGCCTTCAGTTCTCCATATACATTCCATGATTATAAATTATTTGCAGTTATTGAAATGAACTTATTTGAACTTCTGTTTGCAGTTAAATTGAACTTAATTTGTTGTTTTATTATGATCATGTATATCAGATATAGTTCTGCAAGAACTATCAATAAGAAGCAGCCATATGATTCTCATCACTGCTCTTATTGTATTGCTCTTTCTTCTGTGTAGGATTTCATGTAACAGCTGTTTATTATTGTGCAGGACCACACTATTCATGTATATAGGCTTTGGGTGCCAACTAGTGAGACAAGGACATATCCTCAGGTTTTACACTTGCAGTTCCATGGAAGAGAGATACATTCTTTGTGTTTTATAGCTCTTCCCTTAAATTCAAGTGGCACTGTTAATATTAGCTGGATTGCAACTGGGAGCGAGGATGGAACTGTAAGATTGACAAGGTATGACCTCATGTGTTAGTGTTAAAAATGTTTTGTCCATGAATGATGCTCTTCTCACTGTCAGTACCGGATGTCTGTCACTCTTAACCATTTTTTCAATGTTTTCCTTCATGATATACGTGAGTAATTGTCTTTATAGCTCAATTTTCCATGACTTCATTGAATGTTTAATGAGCATATCGTTGTTGCTTTTTGTGAAATTCATGTACTGGGAATCTAAAATCTTGATATGGCATGTGAGTTTAAATTTTCTTACATGAACAACTTAACTGAGTGCATTTTTTATATGCTTTATCAAAAATATAATAAAATTCATCCTTTCATTTTATCACATTTTGTTAAATCGTTCTGTTTTTTCTCTGGGGAAGGCTGTCCTGGTTGCATGACTTGACCAAATATTGTTATCATTTTGCTTTCTGAGGAGACTGTTGACAAAAGGAAATGTGACCACTTCTTCAGATGTGCTTGCTTTGCCGTATTGAGATGTTTTAAGTAATGGCACTCATTGATATTGCTTGAATCATTCATTTGGTTAGATATTAAACTCCTGGCACTAGTCCCTTTCTAGTTTGTTAATGGTCCGTTTCAGTTTGTTATTATTCATAATCTTGATGATCATATATATATTCGTTACGCAGCCATTTTATGTTATGTTCTTTGTTTTGCTCTATGTGGAGGAGCTGCAAATTGGATGGTATCAAATGCCCTCCTACAGCATAATTATATCCTCAATTTCTTGTGAAAGATTAGTCATATGTTCCTTGTACTTTCAACGTAAAATTATTCCTCAGTCATATCGGTGGAATTTGTTCCCTCAATTTTCATGTGAAAAATCTATTTAATTATCCTGTTTTTGAATGAAGAATGCATGTTGTTGTTCTTTACATTAGTTTATCTTGAGATGGTCTTACATGATGCAGCTACAGTCATGATTCTGTTGAGAGTTGGCCTGCATCAAAGTTGCTTGGCGAACATGTTGGAGGATCAGCTGTTAGGTCAATCTGCCTTGTGTCAGATATGTATACATGCGTAGAAGATTGTACTCAAATGTCTCACGATAAGTACTGGGAACTTGATGCTTCCTCTATTAGGATGAGTGATAACTTTATACTTATTTCTGTTGGAGCCAAGCAAGTCTTGACTTGTTGGCTTCTCAAGGATTTGAAATGTGATAACAAGGAAGAAACAGACGGATATCAAACGAAAGCTGGAATTCATGGAAGGAACGTTCTGGAGGCTTCACAAGTGTCTTTTCAATGGTTGTCCACTCATATGCCACCAAAGTTTTCCAGTACAAGTAGACGAGTAGACAGTATAAAGAAAAATCATGGACATCTCAGAGCTTCATCATCCGGATCAGAGTTTTGTGAGGATTCAGAAAATGATGCTAAAGCAAAACCCCTTGAATCAAACGAAAATGATTGGCGATACCTGGCTGTTACTTCATTCTTTGTAAAAACTGCTGAATGCAGGTGAATATGAAGAGTACTTTTGTTTTGGAGCTATTGTGTTATACAAAAGCTGTTTTTTGTGGGTTTATAAGTTTTACTTGTATGACTTATTTATTGGCTTCAGATCAACTGCTTGTTTCATTGTGGCTGCCTGTTCAGATGTCTCACTTACTCTGCGTGTGCTCGTGTTGCCATCCCGACTTTGGTATGTATTAGACAATCCTGAATAAAAATTTACTTGATCTTTATCTGCTTGGTAGATTTTTGCAGCATTTTGGAATTATGATTTTGTTGTCAACTCCACTGATATCTTAAGCACATGTTTCCCTTCCTTTTTTGCAGGTTTGATGTTGCTCTTCTTGTTCCAGAAACTGCTCCTATTCTTGCATTGCAACATGTGGTCATTCCTCTCCGTTTGGCTCATAAGGGTGAGAGCTTGCAGTGAACATTGGGATTCATTTGCATCCTCGTACAAGTGTGTATACTAAGCACTGAAACAAGTACACCCATAAGTTCAGGAATTGGGAGGATTTTAAGATGTGATTGATTAAACACTGAACTTTTGTAGTTTATTTATCTTTTCCTATTGATATTTTTCTTTTTCCTCTCTTTTTTTCTGAATAAACTTTGGAGTTTACTTTATGGAGTCAACTTTAGTATTCTGATGAGTTACACGGTCAAGGATAACACTTAAACTGGAGCTTTTTGTTGTTATTGGAAGCAGTGCCTGATATATCGGAAGTTAAAGGGAAAAAGGATGTGGAACATTCAATTATTTGCTGTCTTTCACCTGTAGTAAAAATATACTTCCATTTGCCTGCCAGCTGACTTGATTTAGTTTACTCTTTGTCCAGTCAAACAATTCGAATAAAAAATAAAATAAATATTTTTCCAGTTATTTAGTTATAGTTAATCTTCTTTGCAGACAAGGTGCACATCCGAAATGTGTATATTGTGATCGGTGGCTCTACTGATGGAAGGATCACTTTTTGGGATCTGACGGAAACAATAGAATCCTTTATGCGACAAGTACTGGCATTTCAGCCTGAAAAGTATATTGACTGCAACAGACGACCCCGGACAGGTAGAGGAAGCCAGGGTGGGCGATGGTGGAAATCAATTACTAATCTGTCATCAAATGCAATGGACTTGGAGGTATCTCGCATAAGTCTTGAAAGGGATAAGATTAAGCATCCCACAAATCAAACTGAAAAGAAGACAGCTACAAAATCAACTAACCCTGTTAATAGTTCAATGGGATCTCCTCAAAATACGACTACTGGTAGCCACTCTGTAATAGGAGCTGAGATGGTGGATAACAGTAGCATCCAAGTTCCTCAAATTCAAGCCCTCTATGTTCTCCCCTCTGCTCACCAATCTGGGGTTAATTGCCTTTGTATTTCAACCACCAATCTGAAAACAAACTGCAAGGATGCAGATTTCACTGCGGTTTATTTTGTTGCAAGTGGTGGCGATGACCAAGCTCTTCAATGCCTTAGCTTTGATCTGGTGTTTTCCCCAGAGGACCATGATACTGGACCCATGACCACAGAATGTTTGGGTAAACTTGCTTTCTTGATTCCAATTTAAATATTACAATTTGTTTATTCCTAAGTCTGGTGGAGCCGTGTCTAAAGAGACCATGATATCTTGCAGGCAGGAGCGGAGTGATGGATTCCTTAAGTACCAGTAGTGTAACTTACAGGTTGAGGTTGTTACATCAAGAAACCTTGGCCTCAGCTCACAGTTCGGCAGTTAAAGGTAATGTAGTGTCATTATATGACCTTCTATTTGATGAGTTTGCTAATCTTTTGACATGGGAATTGCCATGCTTTTCTCTCTTTCAAGAAAAAATCAACTTGGTTTATAACCATTGTTCAGGTTCTCACCAGTTGCATTATTTGTGAAGGTATTTGGACTGATGGAATCTGGGTTTTCACAACTGGTCTGGACCAAAGGGTTCGGTGCTGGCACCGTAGGCATTCTGGAAAACTGGTTGAGCATTTCAATTTGGTCGTCAATGTGCCTGAGCCAGAAACATTGGACGCATGGCGTATTGCAAGGTGAGCTTAATATCCATGGTGCTTCTTCTTGGAATCTTATACAATTGATTTTAGGGTCTGTTTGTTCCAAAAAAACCTTGATTTGTGTTGGGTTGCAGAGACCGATATCAAATTGCAGTAGCGGGAAGGGGGATGCAAATGGTTGAGTTTTTCTGCCCCACTTCACATGAGCACTACACTGACTGAAATGTACAATCTCCTGACCAACTTATACTTTCCCATATATATATATATATATAAACAAACAGAAGAAGAAGAAATGACCTAATTACATGTGAATCCTTTAAATTTGAGTGTTAATTTTCTTTCTATAATTTGTACTGAGTTAATTTTATAGTGTCATGTGCTTTTTGAGCAGGACTTGTGCTATCAGCGACAAGCTCATCATTGAAATTCAGGCCTATATTTGAAGATTGAGAAGTAATCAACCTCCACGTGGGAGGTATAAGAGTAGGATTATTCATTCTTATAACTTTTTGTTCATTAACCTGGTGGATTTTATTCCCCAGAAAGAGGTAAAAGAGAAAATGTAAAGAAATTTTTTGCCTGGTAATCTATTGTATTATTATTCTTGTCTCTGAGCAAGCAAAGAGCTCATCACATGGTTTACATGAGCTCTGAGATTTAGAATAATTAAGTGACATGGCAGATTCATGATTTGTACCATTAGGTCAGGCTTGACCACTGATATAAGTCGAGGCAGAGACGGGATTTATGGTTTGCAAATTTATTGTTAGATTTCATTTATATTATGCCATACATCATGATTATTCATCTTTTAGGGATTATGAAGTTGAATCGAACCTATCAAGTAATTTTTTAGGTTGAATACATTTTCAAGATTTCCAGAGCTGCAGGGATTTTAAAATTTTACATAGGAAAGTATGATCAAAATGCCCATGACCTATTTAACATTCTGCACATTTGCAACAATTCCACCTCATTATCATGTGTTTTTTATGGGTAGTTTGAAATTAAATAAAAAATATGAATAAAATATTAAATTGTTCATCTCTCGTGTAATTTAATAAATTTCCCTTTTCCCCCACATATGACCCATCTGTTGAACAAATATAAGGCTTTGACATGTGATCGATTCTATGATTTCTTTAGTTTATTTTGGGAGAGATTTGTACGCCTCAAGGGTGATAGGTGAATTAGTGGAATAGTATATGCCTTTGCTCTTGTAGCAGCAGTAGCAGCTCACGGATTCGAGATTCAGGAAAATAGTTAATTTTTTCTAAAATTAAGAAAAATTCTGTAGATCACTTTTTTGAGTTAAGGAGAAAGTTTATATAACGGTGAGGCCCTAAACAATTAAATTAAGGCTCACTTCAAAAATCTATTAGAGAAGATTATTTAGATACCCAAAAATCCTTAAATCGACTATCTTGGCCTCAAGATATATGGGCATGAGAAAAAAATAGATTTAAAGTCTTGGAAATAGTTGATTTGTATTTGTTGACCTTCAATTTTCAAGATTTTTAAGTGTTTATAGATCAGTTTGATTTATATTTTTTTTCAAGCTTTAAATTTTATAATTAGATATCAAGATAAAGTTTCAAGCCCTCACAAAGACTTACTGTACTGAAAAATACAGTCCGACGCTATTTAAAGGTGCGTCTTGCTTAGGTTGTTTGGGGGCGTCAGCCTTATACATACACCACACCCAGTAATATGCGGCTTCTATCATTCATAAGGAAGTCCAAAAAAATTCAAGACCGAAAGGGTAGAAAAAGAAACCGATCAATGATGGAGGCCAGCTTACCAAATCACCGACTTTCCCATGCGCTTTGTCTCAACCGAAATCTACTGTGCTCTCTCAATTCATCCCTTCTTAAATTAGAATTCCTTATCTTTTAAAATATAATCGTGGTGAAGTTTTCAATGAATTTGCAACAAATTCAGCCAGCCAAAAGAAGACTTAAGAAAAATATGGGAAAAAAAGGAAAATATTTGATTAATCAAAATCCAGATTAAACATCAGAAGCTCTCAAGAATCCTCCAAATTTACGTAATTACGTGGAATGATGCAAGACCATCACGACACGACCCACAACGCCATCACTCTTACAAACCCTTTTCACCGAAAAAAAGAAAAGAAAAGAAGAATCACTTTCCAGGCCCAAAGTTGGTGGCATAGGCCCAAGCGCTGTTGTTCTTAGTGACAATGGCCTGAACAAAGAACCCGAACATCGAGAACATGGCTAGTTGGCCATTCTTGATCTCCTTCACATTCAGCTCGGCAAAGGCCTCAGGGTCCTCGGCCAGGCCCAAGGGGTCAAAGCTGCCACCGGGGTAGAGTGGATGGGTCACCTCACCCAAGGGGCCACACGGTAGCCCTCGACTGCGCCCATGAGGATCACCTGAGTGGCCCAGATAGCCAAGATGCTCTGAGCATGCACGAGGCTTGGGTTTCCCAAGTAATCGAGCCCACCCTCACTAAAGAATTGAGCACCAGCCTTGAACCACAAGGCCTCGCCGAACTTGACGCCATTGCGCGAGAGGAGCTCTGGGAAGGCACACCCCAGAGCACCGAGCATGGCCCACCTACAGTGGATGACCTCGAGCTCTCTGTTCTTGGCAAAGGTCTCGGGGTCGGCGGAGAGGCTGGCGGTGTCCCACCCAGGGAACTCTCCTGTGAGGTAGGATTGGGGGTGGGGGGGACTCCCTCCCCAGAGAACGGGCCAAGGTATTTGACTCTGTCGGGACCAAACCACGGGGCTCCCTGAGGACACTGAGGGCTTGCTGGCGGTCTTCCTCATGCTCACTCTACCGTCCCAACTGACGGCACCTCCGAACTCAGATTGCATGCTTACCGGCACGGCACGGCTTTGCCGGTGAATGAGGGGGAGGAGAGGGAGATCGTTGCTGAGCAAGGGTCGTAGAGATAGGCAACGAGTGAATGGGGGGGAGGAGAGGGAGGAGGGTTGTAGAGATAGGCAACGAAAGGGAGTGAAGTGTAGAGTTGGTGCGTCATCTCATCTCATCTCATGTGCCTGTGTCTGAAGTGGTTTCCGTTTATCCCCCAGGATTTGAATCTCGCATTTGATTGCTGATTTGGCAACTAGTGTGGGACCCTAGGTAGGGCTCCTTAAAAAGATATGCTATCCTCTTCTATCTTGGGGAGATTGAATAAAACTGTTCATCTTTTAGAGATATTTACTCGTATATTCCCTGATATTTAAAATTTGTATTAAAATTTTCAGTTATTATCTTCATATTCTTTCTTTTATTTTTTATTTTTTATCATGTTTTAAAATAAAAAAATTGCGTAAATTTGGGATCTGTAGGATCTAAAACTAATAGTTTTGTAATTTATTTGCTCTGAAATTTCAAATATTCAAAATCTCAAATCCAAAATTAAGGTCTTTTCATATATTTGAAAAATCAAAATTAAGAATTAATTTTAGTTTCATATTTTCAATATTTGCAAACTTTCAAAAAGGACAACCTTGATTTTAGATTTCTGCATTTTGAATGTAAAAACTATGATGTAAAAATTTATTTGCATTTGAGATTGGTTTTCACAGTTGTTCGCAAATACCACTATTTGGGATGCCCCTTTAAACATTTAATCCCTGTACAATACAATTTGTTGTTTGAAAGAGGCAATGATATATTTTTTATTTGTTAAAGGGAAAAATGCACATAAATTCATTATTTTAAGCGTTATTACAATTTCACCTAAAATTTTCTGTTATTACTACCTTACCCATTTCATACATGTTATTATAACAATATTTTTAAAAATGATTAAATTGCTCTTTTCCGATTTTCAAGATCCGAAATTTATTTTTGCATGAACTAACTAAGATTGAATTTTTCATATTTTTTTATATTTTGAATTTTAAAAATCTTAAAATTACAAAATAAAATCTCTATAATTTCGAGTCCAAATTTTCTTTTTCCAAAATAAAAAATCGACAAATGAAACTCAACCAATAGGATGTGTAAAACAACTCCACAAATATTTTATATTCTCAGCCAATAATAATAATAATAATAAAAGTTAGCATAAACTTTTTTCAAATATTTTCTCTTTTAAAAAGTCCTCGTCAAAATTTTGAAAACTAACGTTCAAAATTTTCTATACACAATTTTAGGTTCTTGAAGTTCCGAAATTTTTTTTATGTCAGATCCAAAAAGGCAATTTTGCAAAAAAACATTCGTTGGTCCTAAGAAGGGAATACATGTAATATCGAAAATTGTGAATAAGTTAAAATTTTATCTGTTGACCGACGTTTGCGTTTCTCTTTTCTCTCTTTCTATTTATGTTCCCCTAATTTCAGCATTCTAATTTCATGTTATTGCAGCAATTTATCAATAAAAGTTTTGAATATTGTAAAAAAAAAAAAGGTTAAAATTTTAGAGGAAAATTTATAATAACACTTAAAATAATAGATATATTTGTAATTTTCCCTTTTATCAAAAAAAAGAAAGAAAGGGTACTGGTCGTTTGAAATGCCAATATCTGATACTTGTTGGGGTTTTTGAATAATATTATCATATGAATATTTTGGAGCACCAATACCTTACTAAGCAAAATTAATGTTCTCACGTACTACTCTTGTTTTGATGTGTTATTCTTACGAAGAAGCAAATAGGAAGTTGTCCCTCCCTCAATTTATGAACAGAAGTGGTTTACATGACTTAACAAAATTTATCAAAAGAAAATGTGAAAGTGTTAAATTATGAATCTCAATATTTTAGGGGTGATTCTTTAAAGGGCCAAATGGCGACTCTAAACAATCAAAGTAAAGTGCACAATCAAATAGTGTCAAGAAATGTGGTTTCAATACTGAAAATCTTTGTGATAGTCTTAAAGTATATTTTATTTCTAATTATATAATTTAAAGCTTAAAAAATAGTGTAGATTGAGTAGATTTATGAAAATTTGAAAATCTTGAAAATCGACGGTCCAAAAATGCATTACAAGATGCATTATTTCCAAAACTTGAAGTTCATATTTTTCTCATGTATATGCATCTTGATGTAGAGATGATCAATTTGAAGATATTTGGGAATCAAAACAACCTATTCTCGTGAATTTTTTGAGGTTGGTGCTAATTTGATTGTTTAGAGCATCGGCTCTATATAAGCTTTTGCCTTCTTTAAAATCCCCCATTCATTATTAAAATGGAAAGCAAAGTAAAAGAAGAACTTTGTAATTCCTTTTATCTGTTGTAAAACAGTCGTATGAAATCTGACCATACAATTTGATTATTAGTTTAAGATTTTAAATGATAATAGTGGGAGGTGAATGGAGGGCTACTTGGAAGCACTTGTTTTCTTGGAAGTTCGAGAGATAGAAATCCATCAAAATTTTTTATAGGGATTTTGAGCAGAGGAAAAGTGCCCCTACATTCATATGGGAGCAGTTTTAATTTTCCCGATCAATACCATGAAAAATAACTTTCCAATGTGCTTTGGCCCAAAATACTGTGCCCTCTCAATTCATCCGTTATTAAGCCAGAGTTGTTCATCCTTTCAAACATAATCCTAGTGAAATTTTCAATGAATTGGTGACAATTTCAGCCAAAAGAAGACTATATAAAAAATATGGTAAAAAATAAAATATCTTACTAACCAAAATCCAAGTTAAACGTTAGAAGCTCTCAAGAATCCTCCAAATTTACATAATTCATTGGAAGGTCAAAAAAGGAAAGAAAAAAAATGCAAGACCATCACTACACAACCCGAATCACTTTCCGGGCACAAAGTTG